AAAATAAATAAATAAATAAATACTTACTAAATCAGCAATTTGCTTTGCGTCTCCACAATAAACTAAATGTCCCTGCATGCACAAATGCATGCATGCATGCATGCATTATAAATAAATAAATAAATAAATAAATAAATAAATAAATAAATAAATAAATAAATAAATAAAGACATTAAATAAATTAATAAATATAAATAGACTAAATAAACAAAGACAGTAAATAAATAAATAAACAAACAAATAAAAAATAAATAAATAAAATAAATAAATAAATAAATAAGATAAATAAATAAAATAAATAAATAAATAAATAAATAAATAAATAAAATACCTGGCAAGCAGTATAGTTACGCATGCGTAGATTTGCTGCTGCTGCTGCTGCATGAATAATTAAACAATTAGATGAATTATTTCCTCCATCTATCCATTTTATTGCCCTAAATACATAAACCCTAAACCCTAAACCCTAAACCCTAAACCCTAAACCCTTGATAGAGGTATTGCATCCTTCTACCCATTTTATTGCCCTTAAATAGTAAACCCTAAACCCTAAACCCTAAACCCTAAAAAAAGGGAGAGTTGCAACATGCGGCAGTGTCAGTTGTACATACATCTAAACCTACAAAAAGGGTTTAGGGTTTAGGGTTTATTAGGGTTTAGGGTTTATTAGGGTTTAGGGTTTAGGGTTTCTTACCTGCCAACATAATTAGCTATATCTTTTTGTCTTGGTCCTCCCTCTATCTTACTAGTAGATACAGTTAATAAATCCGCTATCTGCAACCAAACCCTAAACCCTAAACCCTAAACCCTAAACCCTAGGTTATAAACCCTAAACCCTCTACAGTAAGTAACAAGTCCCTACAAACGGCCCGGGAGATGAAGGGGAAGAGGGTTTAGGGTTTACGTCTAGGGTTTAGGGTTTGTATACCGGCTTACCAGCTGCAGTTGCTCCTTTGTTGGTTGCTGCTGCTGCTGCTGCTGCTGCTGCTGCTGCTGCTGCATGCAAGTTAATGCAAGACTTGCTAGATCTAACGCTAATGCTCCCTCTCCTAATTCTGCAGCAAATGCATGCAAATGTTGCTTCCTTTCCTTGCTAGGGTTTAGGGTTTAGGGTTTAGGGTTTTGGCATATTGGGACTAGGGGGGACGTCTAAACCCTAAACCCTAGGGTTACAAAATTATTTCCGTCCCCTTTATTAGTGTGTTTATATAGTGTAGGGTTTACAGTCTGTATATATTAGGGTTTAGGGTTTAGGGTTTAGGGTTTAGGGTTTACCAGCGAATTGACGCGCAAATGTTGCGCAGATAGACACGGATATCTCCGGCTGTCCCTTCGCATTATATCTGCACCACACAAACCCTAAACCCTAAACCCTCATAAACCCTAAACCCTCATAAACCCTAGATGCATGCAGAAGACATCAGCCAAACCCTGCAGGACCCCATAAGGGCCCTTTTAACCCTAAACCCTAAACCCTAAACCCTAGTGCGTGAGGGCCTCCCTGAGGCTGTCTTTGATAGAAGGTTTAGGGTTTAGGGTTTAAGGATCTGGGCTGGTGCCTCCCTAGCTAAAACCCTAAACCCTAGAATCCCCTAGTACCCAAACCCTTTTAGGTGTATACGCAGGTATAACCATAAACCCTAAACCCTAAAAATATATTGTATGTTTGTATGTGTTTGTGTCCCTGGATGGCGGCTGAGGGTTTAGGGTTTAGACATATCTGTAAGAGAAGGTTATAATGCTTTATTTAGGGTTTAGGGTTTAGGGTTTATCCGTGCCTTTTATAGAGAGTTGTGACTCCATATTTAGGGTTTAGGGTTTAGGGTATATAATTGTGTATTAGAGAGAGCACAATTAGGGTTTAGGGTTTAGGGTTTAGGGTTTAGGGTTTACCTATTAGAGAATGTTTTTATTAGTTGCTGTGCATCATAAAATTGTTTGTTATCTAGGCGGCGGTTTACAGCCTCTAAAACCCTAGCAGGTAGAGGAGCTAGGGTTTGAGGGTTTAGGGTTTCCTCCTTCTTTTCTTTCATTGTTTTATTAAAAAGGGTTTATAAATATACAAAAATACACACTATTTATTCATTAGCCAAGAAAAACCAACAAAAACAAGCCCCAATATACGCATGCATGCAACATATGTATATAGCAGCAGCAGCTGCAACTACAGCAGCAACAGCAGCAGCAGCAGCAGCAGCAGCAGCAGCGCTCGCTGTTATTATAGAGGAAGCAGCAGGGGGAAAAAGACATTTAATTAATTAAAAAGAATTAATTAAATAATTATATTTATTTTTATTTATTTTTTATTTAATTATTTTTTCTTTTTTTCTTCTTTTATAGTAAACCCTAAACCCTAAACCCTTAAAGACACATACTTCCTATGCTGCATGCGTCGGCTGCTGTCTGTATATACAGGAAGCGGTTTAGGGTTTAGGGTTTAGGGTTTAGTATTAGGGTTTAGGGTTTTGTATTATTAATTATGGTCTTGTACCAAGGTGTTTAGGGTTTAGCATTAGGGTTTAGGGTTTAGCACTTAGGGTTTACGACTGCTGGGCGAACCGCCTGCACGGCTCGAGTTGCAAACCCTAAACACTAAACCCTAGCTAACCCTAAACCCTAAACCCTAAACCCTAAACCCTAGAAGGTATATCCTCTAGAGGAACTCCAGTCGTTACATTTCCACTAACCAAAACGTTTGTCTTCAGCCCTAAACCCTAGCTAAACCCTAAACCCTAAACCCTAAACCCTAAACCCTAAACCCTGCTAAAAAAAGCTATAGACTTGTTAACACCATTATATAACAGTCCCCTAACCTCTAAACCCTCGTAAACCCTCGTAAACCCTCGTAAACCCTCGTAAACCCTCATAAACCCTCATAAACCCTCCTACTATCGTATAAACGGCATATAATAGACCCTCCTTCCCTCCCCCTCTCTCTAAACCCTCGTAAACCCTAAAAAAAAGGAAACCTATAAACCCTAAATAAAAAAAAGAAATAAATAAATAAAAAAAGGAATAAATTAATAGAATTTATTATTACATACAGTATAAAAAGAATATCCTTGTGCAAGAAGACGAGCAGCACGATTAAATTCATAAATTATTTTATTTAATTTATAATTATAAATATTTATTACATCTTTACCTAATTCAAAAGGATTATCTACATGAAAATATTTATTATTGTTGCTGTTGCTGCTGCTGCTGCTGCTGCTGCTGCTGCTGCTGCACATGCTGCTGCTGCTACGAGGAATATAACGAATGGCTATAGGGCCCCCTTTGTATTCTTGTGTATAATAACGAAAGAAACGCAGCAACAATTCACCTACACACGGACCAGGTAGTTGCTGCTGCTGCTGCAGCAGCAACTCTAATTGTTGCTGTTGTTGTTGCTGCTGTTGCTGCTGTTGGTTATTCATTCCTCCTCCTGCTGCTGCTGCTGCTGCTGCTGCTGCTGCTGCTGCTGTTGTTGTATTGTTGTTATAGGTGTTGTATATGTACTGATGTTGGTCATCAATAACACCTGCAACAGCATTTGCTGCTGCTGCTGCTGCTTGTGCTGCTGCTGCTGCTGCTGCTGCTGCCTGCTCTGTATTATTTGTATGTTTACTATACAGCAGGAACATTTGCTGCTGCAGCAGCACAGGATCGCAGCAGAAGCTACAATCATGTCCATGTACAAAAACTTTTTGCTGCTGCCCTTGCTGCTGCCCTTGCTGCTGCCCTTGCTGCTGCCCTTGCTGCTGCCCTTGCTGCTGCCCTTGCTGCTGCTGCTGTATATCCTGCAACAAAGGAAGCAGCTGCTGCTGCTGCATAAAATGTATAACCATTAAGGTAATAGAGAAAGAAGAAAAAGTTCCTTCTTTTCTTTTATTTATTTCTTTGCATGCAATAAAATATTTTATTAATATACATAATGTTTTTACTCTTTTATCCAGGTGTACATACACCCCAATTAATCTACTATTTATTACTCCTAATATATTATTCACTGTTATATCGCATGCAAGCTGCTGCTGCTGCTGTTGCTGCTGTTGTTGTTGCTGCTGCTGTTGGTATGGGGTAGTGCTGCTGATGCTGATCCTGCTGCTGCTGCTGCTGCTGCTGCTGCGGTGCGAGGAGAGGAGAGCAGCAGCAGCATATATGCTGCTGCTGCGAGGGGCCCAGTGCAGCAAAGGGACAGCAGCAGAGTAACGTGTCTCTATATAATAAGACTTAACCTGCTGCAGCACAGCAGCAGCAGCACGAAGGGCTTGCTGCTGCTGCTGTCTTGTGCTGCAACCAGGAAGCAGCAAACATATATCTATATCTGCTGCTGCTGTCCATACACCAGATACACAGGAACCAAAAGGAGCTATAGATACACCCCGTAGCTGCTTGTGCTGCTGCAGCAGCTGCTGCAGCTGCAGCAAGAATGCAGATAGCTGCTGCATGCGTAAGCATCCTACTGGCTGCAGCACCAGCTGCTGCTGCAGCAGCTCCCTTGTTAGTGCAGCAGCAATTGCTGCTGGAGATTTTGCGGTGTATACACCACCAGGTAATACTAAAGGAAATGATAATATATCATCCAATATATTGCTGCTGCTGCTGCTGCTGCTGCTGCTGTTGCTGCTGCTGCTGTTGCTGCTGCTGCTGCTGCAGTTGTTGTTGTTTGTCTCTGTCCTATGGATGCCTCCTCGGGTAGGACGTGTGTTCAAATTCATGCCGCTGCTGCTGCTGCTGCTGCTGCTGCTGCTGCTGTTGCTGCTGTTGCTGCTGCTGCTATTGTTGTTGCTGCTGCTGTTGCTCCTGCTGGGATAGCCTGGAGAGCTCGGGGAGCTCTGTGCTGCAGTGCCATACTGCTGCTGCCCGTTCTGCTGCCCGTGCTGCTGCAGCTGCAGCAGCCGCTGCTGCTGCTGCCGTTGCTGTGAAAGATGTCTTACATAAGGGGCACTAGAGAAGGCTCTCCCTGCTGCTGCTGCTGCTACTGCAGTTGCTGCAGTTGCTGCAGTTGCTGCAGTTGAAGCAGCAGCAACTGCTGCTGCAGCACATGCTCGCTGTAGCATCCGGTGTTTGTACACCTCAAACCCCGATCGGGCATGCCAACAGCAGCAGCAGCAACTGCTGCTGCTGCTGCTGCAACCACTGCAGCAGCAGCAGCTGCTGCTGCTGCTGGGAGTTTCAGCTGCTGCAACTGATTGCCAGGGTTTGCTGCGCGACTCAATTCTTCGGGTGTACTTGACCCCCCTGCTGCTGCTGCTGCTGCAACTCGTGCTGCTGCTGCTGCTGCTGCTGCTGCTGCTCCTTCTGCTGCTGCTGCTGTTGCATGCAAATAGAAGAGGCCGCAGCCGTAACGGGGTAAGGGAGTAAACAGTTGGGCGGCAACAGCTAAGGACTTCCATGGGGCCCCACCGCAAAACCCTAAACCCTAAACCCTAAACCCTAAACCCTAAACCCTAAACCCTAAAAGTTAGACATTATATTAATTTGCCATTAAATTATTTTGCTGTTGTATTTGTGTACAGACCTTCCTTGTTACAACCCCAGACAACAGCGTACCTGCTGCTGTTGCTGCTGCTGCTGTTGCTGCAGCAGCAGCAGCAGCAGCAGTAGTGTGTCTTCTTATTATTATTTATATTTAATGTTATATTTTATTTCTTTTTTTTGTTTTTTTTAACAAAAATTAAAATTTGAGGGTTTAGGGTTTAGGGTTTAGGGTTTAGGGTTTACTGTGTTTATCTACTCCCTCCTTGTCTCGATGCCGCCAGTAACAGCAGCAGCAGCAGCAGCAGCAGCAGCAGAAGACCCTCTAAAGGTAACAAATAAAGAAGCAGCAATTGCTGCAGCAAAGGGATCCCTTACAGGGTCTGGTGCTGCTGCTGTCTTTGCTGCAGCACAGGCAACCATAAAGAGGCGTACGTAGCTGCTGCTGCTGCTGCTGTTGCTGCTGCTGCTATTGCTGCTGCTGCTGCTGCTGATAGAGCTTGGCATGCTCGTACTGCTGCTCCTGTTGCTGCTGCCGCTCCTGTTGCTGCTGCCGCTCCTGTTGCTGCTGCTGCTTTAATACACACGGAGCATCAGCAGCAGCTGCTGCTCCGTGTTAATGCTACTGATTGTGCTCGTACTGCTGCTGCTGCTGCTGCTGGTGCTGCTGTCTTTGCTGTTGCTGCTGTTGCTGTTGTTGTCTCTGTTTCTTTTGCATCTTGCTGCTCCTGCTGCTGCATTCTCTTCCGGCGGTTCATTTCTTGTTGCTGTTGCTGCTGCTGCTGCTGCTGCTGCTGCTGCTGCTGCTGCTGCTGCTGCTGCTGCTGCAGAACCTATACAGTTTAGGACAGGAGCCTTGGGTGTATTTATTGCTGCTGGTGGTGCAGCAACTTATCTCTCTATAAGAAATCAAATAAAACACAAAAAAGGACTTGTATGCAAACCCTAAACCCTAAACCCTAAACCCTAATTTAATGTTTAGGGATAAGGATAAAATGTGCTACTAGGGTTTAGGGTTTAGGGTTTAGGGTTTTTGTTGCTGCTGCGGTGCTGCAGCTGAAACTCCAGAGGCAGCATATTAAATCTATGTGTTTTATGGTAAGAAACCCTAAACCCTAATCTGTAAACCCTAATCTCTAAACCCTAATAAACCCTAATCTCTAAACCCTAAACCCTAAACCCTTGCGATGGATGCACCGCAGGATATGGATTCTTTAGCACCACCAAGACCTGCTGATGCATCAACAGAGGAAGGAGAGAGAGCAGCAAAGCTGCTGCTGCAGCAAGAAACAAAACCCTAAACCCTCACAATAAAACCCTAGGGTTTAGGCTTTGAAGGAAACCCTAGGGTTTTTAGGGTTTATATACTCTCAAGGGTTTAGGGTTTGACGGAAACCGCAGATTTTAGGCTTTGAAGGGAGACTCTAGGGTTTAGGGTTTAAGGAAACCCGAGGGTTTAGGGTTTAGGATCGCGGGGGTTTCCTCGGGTTTTGTCTAGTGGGGAGGCTACAGCGTCAATTGTTAGGGTTTAGGGTTTAGGGTTTGAGTAAGTCCCATGGATCTAGGGTTTAGCAATTAGGGTTTAATGAGTCTCAAGGATTTAGGGTTTAACGAGTTTCTCCCTAGGGTTTAGGGTTTATACCTACCCTAGGGTTTAGGTATTAAAAAGTACCTAGGGTTTAGTGTTAAAAAAATACCTAGGGTTTAGGGTTTAGGGTTTAACAATTATAGAGAGGGTTTAGTGTTTAGTAAGCCTCTAGGGTTAGGGTTTGATGGTTCTCAAGGGTTTAGGGTTTACAGACCATCAAAGGATTAATTAGGGTTTACATGGCCTGCTGCGGAAGCGCAGCAGCTACCAGGCGCTAAACCCTAAACCCTAAACCCTAGAGGCGCCTTCAATAGGCGCGACAAAGGCAATGAAGGAGGCCCTATGGGGCCCTATACAAAAATGATTGGCGGTATCTAGGGTTTAGGGTTTAGGGTTTAGGGTTTTTTATGTCTGATGCGGCGGCGGCGGCGCTTTCTTTGTTTTCCCTG